AGTCAATCAAGAAAATGACAAAGAAGGTAAATTACGGAACGAACAAGCAAAACGGTATATTCATCGTTATCGCATTTTCTTAGAATGTCCGTAACTGATTTAAAAATTAAACCCTAGGGGCCAACGGATGTGACGTCAAGATCTCGGTAATTTTGCCCCCCTTCCCAAAAAAAAGTTAATGTTACCAAAATTTAAAACTTCATATCGATTTAGGAATAACGTTTTTGAAATCTACGCCGAAGAGCACTGGAAGCTTCTAGTGGATCAGCGTAAGCTGCAGCTAGTCAAAATCTACTTATCGATCAACATAGCAATGGGATAAGTACAATCCGGCGCTATCGTCATAGTTGCTTAATTCCAGTCACCTCAGTTTTTCAGTTTTCTCGACTTTAAGACTGAAATTTGGTCCTCTACATCGATGTCGAAAATTATGAAATGGTATAGAGTACCTGAGCATATCGTTTCTATCTGGGAAGAAACATATTAAGGAACCAGTCTGCTGTGAAAGTTGAAGAAAAGCGATTTGACTGGTTCGTTATTAACTGTGGAGTGATGCCAGGAAGTTGTGCATTCTGTCCTGCTACTGAACACTGCTTTCGACTTTCTTTCTCAAAACAGCGCTGATCCTGGCAGGGATGAAGGTCCATCATTAAAAAAGGTGCAGTTCAAGGTATCCGGCAAACAATCTTGATGACGTGGACTAAGCGCACGTTATTGTTATGGTGAGCAATATGGGCAACTTGTTCTGCCACTTTACGACGTCCATATGCAAAACATCTGTGAAAATCGGTATCTTCCGTAGTGAAAATTTATGAGGAATGCATAAAGCACACATGATCGACAAATGGAGCAAGGAGGTAAAGTCCTTCAGAAGGTTGAACAGTTTAAGTACCGCCACTCGATGAACCTCAACGATGGAACAGTTCAGCCACAATTAAATAAGAGGATCGCCCTAACCTCAAATGTTTTTGTAAATCTATCCAATATTTTGGCTGAAAAACGAGCATCTTTTCACAAGCATATAC